CCACCTTCGCTGTGTCCCATAACTTTTGGATTGTTGTGAGCTTGTTTTCACCTGTCTCCAGAAACTTTTTGATTGTTTCCTTGATCTCATTCTTAATCCATTCATTGTTTAATAGTATGGTTTTTATGCTCCATGATTTTGAGAGTTTTTGAGTGTTTTCCTTGAGGTTTGTTTTTCGTTTCAGTCCCTTGTGGTTGAAAAAAATCCTTGATATGATTTCAATTTTTTAATCTGTTGAGTGTTTTTATTTTATTTTATTTTTAATATATTTCATTGATTATGCTATTACAGTTGTCCCATTTCCCCGCTTTTACTCCCCTCCACCCGGCACACCCCTCCCACCCATATTCCCCACCTTTAATTCATGTCCATGTGTCATACTTATAAGTTCTTTAGCTTCTATATTTCCCATACTATTCTTGCCTCCCCCTATCTATTTTCTACCTGCCATCTATGCTACTTATTCTCTGTACCTTTCCCCCTCTATTCTTCTCCCATTCTCCCGTTGCTAACCCTCTATTTGATCTCCATTTCTGTGGTTCTGTTCCTGTTCTAGTTGTTTGCTTAGTTTGTTTTTGTTTGAGGTGTGGTTGTTAATAATTGTGAGTTTGCTGTCATTTTACTATGCTTTTTATCTTCTTTTTCTTAGATAAGTCCCTTTAACATTTTATATAATAAGAGCTTGGTGATGATGAACTTTTTAAACTTGACCTTATCTGAGAAGCACTTGATCTGCCCTTCCATTGTAAATGAAAGCTTTGCTGGATAGAGCAATCTTGGATGGAGGTCCTTGCCTTTCATGACTTGGAATACTTTTTTCCAGCCCCTTCTTACCTGTAAAGTCTCTTTGGAGAAATCAGCTGACAGTCTGATGGGAACTGCTTTGTAGGTAACTGTATCTTCTCTTGCTGCTTTTAAGATTCTGTCATTTTCAATCTTGGGTAATGTAGTTATGATGTGCCTTGGTGTGTTCCTCCTTGGGTCCAGCTTCTTTGGGACTCTCTGAGCTTCCTGGACTTCCTGGAAGTGTATTTTCTTTGCCAGATTGGGGTAGTTCTCCTTTATTATTTGTTCAAATAGGTTTTCCACTTGTTGCTGTTCCTCTCCCCCTTCTGGTACCCCTATAATTCAGATGTTGGGATGTTTAAAGATGTCCTGGAAGCTCCTAAGCCTCTCCTCATTTTTTTGAATTCATGTTTCTTCATTCTTTTCTGTTTGGTTGCTCCTTTCTTCCTTCTGGCCCACTCCATTGATTTGAGTCCCAGTTTCTTTCCCATCACTCTTGGTTCCTTGCGCATGTTCCTTTATTTCACTTAGCATAGCCTTCATTTTTTCATCTAATTTGTTACCAAATTCAACCAATTCTGTGAGCATCCTGATTACCAGTGCTCTGAACTGTACATTTGATAGGTTGACTATCTCTTTGTCACTTAGTTGTATTTTTTCTGGAGCTTTGATCTGTTCTTTCATTTGGGCCATTATTTTTTTTGGTCATGATGAACCTGTTATGTAGTGAGGGGTAGAGCCTTTGGTGTTCACCAGGGCGAGGCAACCCATGTCATCGCATTGTGAGGCTGCATATGGGGGCAGAGTCTGAGAGAGAACAATGGCGCTTGCTCCACTGTCTGCTGGATTTCAGTCCTTTTGCTGCTTCCTCCTAGCAAACTGGGCCCTTCTGGTGCTGATTCCCGTGTGGGTAGGTTTGTGTGTGTTCTAGGACCCTATGGGTCTCTCCAACAAACTCTCTTGTGAGGCTGGGAGTCTTTCCCAGCACCTCAATTCCCACAAGTGTTTTGAATGGGTGTTTCGAGGCTTTATTTCCCTACCCTGGGACCCTGGGTTGTGCAGTCTGTCTTGCTCTCTAGTTTTTCTTGGGTTATCTGTACATGAATGTGGGATCCCCTGGTTCTGCAAGCTGCCTTGCATGCCTCATGTGTCCACAATTCGCCACCTTTCTGGGTTCACCTGCTGTCATCCTGAGCCTGCGGTCCACCAGCCACCACTCTGTTTGCCATTACCCCTCTCCACCCAGCCACCCAACTTTGCCCCTCCTACAGGTCTGAATGAATGTGTCTATTTTAACTCCTTGGTTGTTGGAGTTCCATACAGTTCAATTTTGTGTCAGTGCTTGTTGTTTTTTGTTTCTAAATTTTTGTTGTCCTTATTTGGTTGCGCGAGGAGGCACAATGTGTCTACCTACACCTCCATCTTGGCCAGAAGTCCCCAAATCTGTTGAGTCTTATTTTGTTTTGTGTCCTGTCATGTGGTCTATCTTTGAAAATGTCCCATGTGCACTGGAAAAGAATGTGTATTTTGCTTGTTTGTGATGAAAGGTTTTATATATATCAGTTAAGTCCATTTAATCTAGGACATTGTTCAATGCCACAGTATCCTGGTTTATATTTTGTTTGGAAGATTGATCCATTTTTAACAGTAAGGTATTAAAATCCCCTAGTATTGTTAAAATCCCCTAGAATGTTGCTGCCTATATCTCTTTTTTTTTTTTTGGTTGATTTTTGTTATATATTTTGGTGCTCCTATGTTGGGTGCATATATGTTTATAATGTTTATTTCTTCTTGGTGGATTCTTCCCTTGAGGATTGTGAAGTGTCCTTCTGGTCTGTTTTAATGGCCTTTGTTTTGAAGTTTATTTTGTCTGATATAAATATTGCTACTTCAGCTTTTTATTCCTATCCATTTGCTTGGAATATCTTTTCTGACCCTTCACTTTCAGTCTGTGTGTGTCTTTTGTTCTCAGGTGGGTCTTTTGTAGGCAGCATATGTGGGGGTCATGTTTTCTTATCCATTCAGCTACTATATGTCTTTTCATTGGAGTATTTAATTCATCTCCATTTAAAGCTATTATTGATAGGTACTTATTCATTGCCATTTTACCCCTCTGGACCTGTGTTCCTCTCTCTCATTCTCTTTTTCTTCTTTTTCTTATAGCAGTCCCTTTAGCATCTCTTGCAGAGCTGGTTTGGTGGAGGTATATTCTTTGAATCTTCTTATTTCTGGGAAACTTTTTATTTCTGAGAAACTTCTTATTTGGCCATCCATTTTAATTGAGAGCCTTGCTGGATAAAGTAGTTTTGTTTGCAGGCCTTTGTTTTTCATTACTTGGAATATTTCTTGCCATTCCTTTCTGGCTTGTAGTGTTGCCATTGAGAAGTCAGATACTAGCCTTATCTGGGCTCCCTTGTATGTTACTTCCTGTTCTTTGCTAGCTTTAAGAATATCTTCTTTGTCTTGGAATTTAGCCATTTTAATTATGTTGTGTCTTAAAGTGGGCCTGTTTGGATTCTTCTTGATTTTCCTTTCATCAAATTAGGGAAATTTTTCATCGGTACTTTTTCAAACAGATTTTCTATCCCTTTCTCCTCTTCTTCTGGTATCTTCATTACATGGATATTATTACATTTCTTGTCTTCCTGCATTTCCCTTAACCCCTCTTTGTTCTTTTTGGGTCTTTTTCCCTTATCTTGCACTTTCTGGGAGTTTTTTTTTCCTACTTTGTCCTCCAGCTCACTGATTTGATCCTCTACTTCATCTAGCCTGTTTTTGATGCCTTCTACTGCGTTCTTCAATTCAAAAATTATATTCTTCATTTCCTCTTGGCTCTTCTTGATAGTTTCATGTCCTTTTTCATGCTGATATAGTTTGTAGTAAATTCGTCATAGTTTCCCTGTAGTTTTTGGTAATTCCCAGTGAGCTCATTGAGCTTCCTTATAATCATTGCTTTGAACTCAGTATCTGATAGTTGACTTGCCTCTATTTCATTTAGCACTATTTCTGAGGATTCCTCCTTTCCTTTCATTGGGGGTTTGTTTCTTTGTCTTCCTATTATTTGTGAGACTCTTTTTGTTTGCTTCTGCTTCTTAAATGAATCTGTTTTTACTCACTGAATTTGTGGTGTGAACTTGTATGATAGGTGACTTGTGAGATTCAGTGGTGCAGTTTCCTTGACCCCTTGAACTTGATGCTCTTGGGATGTTCTCTATGCCTTTTATGTTGTATCTTTTGATATAACTGGGTTTTGATTGGTAATTATTTGATGAGTCCATCCCTCCAGCTGGTTGACTGAGTGTCCACCACTCAGTGTGCCCACCACTACATCTTGTGTGCTGTTTTGTGATGATGCTGGAACAAAAGCACGTGGCCCAGGAAAGAAACTCACATCCACAAAAATAATTCCTTCCCAGAAATCTCTATATCAACAGCATATGAATCAGTATTGATAAGGGTATAAAGAGATTAAGACTATTATAAGAAAGGAGTGACTTATAAGAAATTCTCATGACTTAATAAAATCTAGTGACTTAATGTGCACAAACTTGATGGAGTAGAAATGAATGTTAAAGAGCTATGCAGGAAAGAAAATATCACAAATCATGCAGAAGACCACAGTGGATTTTGTCTCAGTAGCCTCTAGTATTTATCACTATTTTTTCTTTCTGGGCCTGCCTCTGGTTATGTCACATGTTGGTTCCATAGGTCAGGGCTTTTTTTAATCAGCACTTTTACACTTTTGATGACAGCTCATAGTAAGACCAGTATCTTATGAGCTAACACATCTACATAAAAGAAAGGGGCATGAAGAAAAGAGGGCAAAAAGTCTGGATATTTCACCCATAGGCTACCACATCTCTTTAGGTGACCTTCGGAGTCAGGAGCCAGTCAAGCATCCTCTTCTTTGAGGGTCCCTAGACACGTGTGGCTGAAGCAGGTCGCCCCAAGCTCCAGGCAGATGCCCTGCTGCCCTCTTCCCACCTCTGCAGGTGCCTGTGATAGGAAGAGGCTGTAGGGAGCTGGGGGAAGCAGAATCTTTGAACTTCATTCCATCCTTGGACACTCTCATCTTCTCTCATGCTTCCCTGTGTGGTAGCTCTGCTCACTGACTAGCACTTGCCTTGGAGTATTTCTCTCCTAGTTCAGCAGAGCCAACAGCTGGGTGGGCTGGCAGGAGTGCAGACTAAGGGATGTCTTCACTCTATTTTCAGAATGCTTCCCTGGCAAGGACATCTCCAGCCCGGGCAGCCCCAGCCTGTGCATCACCTTCCAGGTCATCATCTGCCAGGTCAGCCTCTATAGCATCCTCTCCAACAAGGGTACACCTTGTTAGAGCAACACCAGTGAGGGCCACACCTATCCGGACATCTCCTGCCACATCAGAACCAGCCACCAGAGCCACTGTAGAGACCCCAGGTAAGAGGGATGCTGCAGGGAAAGCAAGAGGAGCAGGGAGAAGTCCATGAGAGGGGAGAGTCTTGGCACTGGCACTCTCTGTTCCTCCTCTACCCCCTGGATAATGATGTGTGGGAAGGAAGGGGAATGGTCAGTGGTGGCAGTAGGAGTCCTGGGGAGGTAGGGGCAGCTAATGGGACAAATGAGGGAAGGTCTAAGAAACCAGACCAGCAAAGCAGGTGTCACTTTGAAGGTTGCACAGTCTGGGTCAGAGTGTAGATCTCAAGGGCATAGGCTCCCTGTTAGGCTGCACAGGCAGGACCCCATTCCCACAGCCTCACCCTTCCCCAATGCTGCCCTGTTCTTAGGTGTCAGCTTGCCCAAGTTCACCTGGCAGGAGGGCCAGAAGCGGCTGCCACTCATCGGATGTGTCCTCCTCCTCATTGCCCTGGTGGTGTCTCTTATCATCCTCTGTGAGTTTCATGGAGGGAGCAGGGGTGATTCTGGTCATTGCCAGTGTGCAGTGGGGTCTGGGGATGGGGCACACAGCAGGAAACAGAAGGTGACTACTGCAAATAGTAGTAGTCTTCTACTACTTGGATATGGTGCTTCTAAGTCCCTGTGAAGTATGAGGTTAAGAGTGTGGGAGGTCAGAGAAACCTGACCTTGAGTCCCATCTGTGCCTCTTACTGTGCAGCTTACCTGAGCAGATTAGTTTACCACTCAGAGCTTAGTTTCAGCATTTTCAAATTCATTCATTCATGCAAATTCAAATTCATTCAAGATAAAATTCATTCATTCATTCACTCATTCAAACATTTATGTGCCTAATAAGTCTCATTGAGACTTTCCAGAGTTATGAGGAATAAATGAACTAATGGTAAAATGCCTATCACAAAATCCCACTCTAAAAATGCTAGTTATTAAAAAAAAACAAATAAACATAAAACCCTGATCAGAAAATGTTTCTCAGGCATTGTCTGTCAATGAGATCAGAGATTCAGGCATCCACAATTTTCCCCCCTCTCTTTAGGAAAGATCCTCAGGACATGTCCCTGGGCTCTCTGTCAGGGAGCCCACTGTAAACCCAGTCCAGTGGGAGGGAGCAAAAGGGGAACACACATTATACTACCTGTCCTTAGGGAGAATATGGCCTCTTGGGAGACATAACTGAAATCAAAGAAAGCCAAATGCATTTGAGTGGGACCATCAGGAAGAGGTGACAGCTGAGTGGCTTGGAGAGACAGAGGCTCATGAAGTTAATGAGGCCAGACAAAGACCTGGAAGATGGGAGAGCATCTGGCACCAGGCATCTGAGTGAGATTAGCAGTTGTAGGAAACCTGGGGCAGGTGGGTAGGGCAATGTGGAGAGAGAGGAGGGACCTGCTTGCTAACCATTTGGGGATTTGGGGGCCACCATTTGGGTATGGCATGGCCATGTTGTAGAGAGCTGCAAATGCTGGGCTGAAGGGTAAGGATTCCCTTAAAGAGCCAACACAGTGTGGTGAGTGTGGGGTGGGTGATGCTATAGAAACACCTGGCAGCAGGACTGTTTGAGAAAGAGGGCTGTGTTGGAGGAGGTTGTGTGCTGGTTGAGAACATACAGCTGAGTATGTGCTGAGTACTACACAGAGCTGCCAAAGCACATGGCTCTGCTGCTCACCAGCTGTGGCACCTTAGCAAGTTCATCAGTTTCCTTGAACCTCCCTCCTCCACTTGCCTGACAAAGCCAAGATGTCACTGTCATGATACCTGCCACATGGTATCCATGTAAGCCTCCTTCGAGACTCACTGCCCTGTCTTCCCTCTCTTTCCCACCCAGGGAACTATCCAGGGGAAAGCCTGCAGTCCACTGAGAGCAGTAGGAGAAAACCTGTGTGGCTGGGTGGGGGGTGAGATGGCATCTGAGGGTAGGCTCCCTGACTAGTTATAGCTCTTATCATGGTTAACAACACTTCCTGAAGTCTTCTGACCTTTAGACCTACCAGCACCAGGGGAGCAGCTATATCAGGTCACTGAGCTTGTCACTGAGCAGCTACATCAGGGGGACAGGACTAGAGCCCCAACTCTGACTCCCCATCCAGAACTCTCCCCACTACACATCAAGGTAATTGTGGCAGCCTCAGTGCACAGGTCATTGGTGACACAGAGGATAGAGGCATATCTAAGAGATTAGGAATGACTGGTGTCTGAACCTGGAAGGGACAGTCATACAAGAGTGACCTTCACCTTGGGTGACAGAGAAAATGGTGGGGCCAAGGGGAAAAGTGGAGGATCAGGGCCAGGAGTCAGTTTAGAGGACAGGCAGAGTGAGAGTCAGAACTCAGGTTTCTTTGGCATCCAAGGGGAAATGTCTCCGGGCAGGAGGGATGACAGTTCCTAGTCTGGAAAGAAATAGGTGTTAGACACACAGGGAGTATGAGGCTGATTTTCACAGATGGTTTGTAAAGCTTACAAATTTGGGCATTAGCCAAGTAGAGTTGCTTTTTGAGTGGGAAGATATTTAAAAGCATAAAGACAAGTAATGGGGGAAAGACTAAGTATAGAAGACATCCCTTGTTTAGGGAAGAGGAAGAGTAAGAAAACTCAGGAGCTTCTGAGGCTGAAAGGATCACCTTAGAGAAAACAGGACAGGCGGTGGCTGCGGGTGTATGACTGTAGATTTAGAAGTTTCTCTGCAGTCACTCTGTGTAGCACAGAGACAAATGGAGGCCAGAAGGGTTCTGAGAAGGGGGTCTCTAGCACACTGGAGGAGGTGGTTTCTCTAGCCACTGCTCTGGCTAGCATGTGGGGCAGGGGAGCTCCCAAAGTAGTATCCGCTTCCATACCTCCCTCCCTCTCACGCTCTCTCCTTCTCTTTCTCTGGTTGGCTGCTCAAGTTTGCCTGGTGCTGCCCTGCTTGCAGGAGCTTTCCAGAACATTCCTGAGTAGGCTTTTTCTCCATACAGATGGGGAACGAGAGCCCCAGAGTCCAAGAGGGATTGCAGGTCGGTGTCTCAGAAACCCCAGGGCCTTGGGCTGCTCAGTGTCTTGTGTCTTTGGGGCCGGCAGTGATGCAGCTGGCTGTCTGCTTCATCTTTTCCAGTCTACTTCTGGCGAGGCCACACAGGAATCAAGTACAAGGAGCCAGTAGAGAGCTGCTCTGTGCATGCTGTGCACTGTGATGGAGTGGTGGACTGCAAGCTGAAGAGTGATGAGCTGGGCTGTGGTAAGCAGGCAGGGGATGGGTGTGTGTGTGTAGATGTGTGTGGATACATGCATGTGTGTATTCTTGTGACTGCAAATTCAAATGGGAGGCAATGGGCAGAGAATCAATGGATCTGTGTTCTAGCCACGGAAACCTTGTGTTTAAAGTCTGACCTTGAGTACTGTGTGACTTGGGCAAATCATTTACTTTCTCTGGGCTTCAGTCTTTGTGCTCCTCCTCTTTGCCTAGCATGTGACCTCTGACTTCCACCCCTACAGTTTCATGAAGGTCGGTTTGTAAGTGGCTGGCCTAGATGAGCACAGAAGCGTCAATGAGTTCTAGCTCTCAGTGGCTTTCACACGTGTTGTTTATACATAGTCCTGATGTGTCTGTGGGTGTATGTCCCATCCATTCTACCTGTGTGTTTATATTTGTCCTGGCCCATTATTGGACAACCATCTGTGACTGAACCTGTCTAATGAGCACTCAGTCAGATTGTAGACCTTATTCCCCTAGTCAGTCCCTCATTTGGGCATGTCACTGCCCTCTCAGAAGGACAGCTGGCAGTGTCTGCCTCTTCTCCCAAGAATGGTCCTCTGGGTCCTGTTGAATGGAGAGCTCTCTGGCCTGCTCCAGCCCCTTGCCTTGGCTCTGCCTTTATTGAATGTCTTGGGCTTCTAAGCACTAGCTGATGATCACCTCAGGGGCCAAGCTCCTGAGTATTACCCAGGCCTCAGCAAAGAGCCTCAGGATAGGAGCCTCTCAGAGCCTTACTCAATTCATTCCCCCAAAACTTGAGCTTCCTGGGGAAGCTCTGAGGACCCACTTTGTTCTTTTCTCACTCTGCAGTGAGGTTTGACTGGGACCAGTCTCTGCTTAAAGTCTACTCTGGGTCATCCCATCAGTGGATTCCTATCTGCAGTGACAGCTGGAACAACTCTTACTCTGTGAAGACCTGCCAACAACTGGGTTTTGAGAGGTAGGACTTTCCCCAGTGTTCTGGCTTCAGGGATGTCCCTGGCTCTTTGCAAAGTGCCTCAGGATCATTCATTGCAGAAAACTCATATTAAAAATATTCATGGGGACCAGAGTTGAGGTCACTGGCTCAGGGCACCCTTGAGTTATCTAATGTGACAGTGGTCCTGGGATGGGATCTTAAAGTCTGAGGCAAGCTATTTCTGTGAGGCCAAAGTAATTTTGTAGATCTGCAATAGGATTACACTCCCAAATGGTTCTCTTCATCAAAGCATACTTGTGCCCTTTATTACATTTAATGGTCATTGCATAGCCCTTTGAGGGGGATAGGCATTTGGGCAGGTCTTATCTTCTCACTTTTGGGAACTAGGAGCTCAGGCTATGCAAACCCTTCAGTGGACTTTGAGCTGTAGCACTCATGGCTTGAGCTAGAACTCATCAAATGGAAACAAAGTAGGCAGGTGTGGCCAGATAAAGTCCTAAGAATCTTTGCCTTTAAAGATTTTAAACAAAGAAGCTGAAGCTGGTAGGTGGAGGAAGGACAGGTAAACAATGACCTTCTGGCTTGAAGGAGTCCCATTTTGCAGGCCACACAGTCATCTCCATTCTCCCTTTTGACCTGAGTTTTCAAGCCAAATAGTTTTGAGGTTCATCAATGTGTGTGAGGTTGTGGGGAGAAAGTTTAAGATCTTACTGCAGGCTCTCTGTAGAACAGGGGTATCAAAGACATTTTCACTGGGGACTACATCAGTCTTGCAGTGTTGCCTCCAAAGGGCTGAATGTAATTTTAGGACTGTATAAATGCAACTACTCCTTAACAGTTAAGTGAGTGCTCAGTGCTGCTGCCAGGTAGAAACAAGGTTCTGGGACATATAAAACAAGGTGGAGGGCTGGATTCAGCCCCTGGGCCTTGTGTTTGCCAACTGTGCTGTAGAAGAAGCACCTAGGAAACCAGGTTTGGGGTCTAGGACTTAGAACTAGCTCTCTGTTCCTATCTCAGTCTCAAAGTTCCCATCTGTGGGAGGGGAATCTGGATCGTCCAATTGGAGGAGCATGGACATTTTAAATAATTAATTATGTGACATTATGCAAGTCTGAACCTCCCTTGGGCTTCAGTAGATAGAGTCATTTATTCAAAGAACATTCATTGAGCTTTTAATATGTGGCACCAGACACAAAGGAATAAGACTAGATTCTGCCCTTCAGGAACCTCCAGTATGATATGGGCAAGAGAGGCTTAAACCAATGATTGCAGCACAATGTCATGTGTAATGACAGAATATGGGTGAAGCTCTATGCACACAATGGAGAGTGTGCTGACTGCACTTGGAGGACAGCAGAGAATGGAGGAGCTCCTATGCAGAGGGACAGTGTATAAGGGTGTACTCTCATGCAAAAATGTACCATGTTCTGGAAATGCACACAAGTGCCATGTGCATAGTGGTCCATGGATCATTTACATCACAATGAGCTGGGGTTTGTTAAAATTTATCCAAATTCAGAATCTCTGGGATTATAACTTAGAACCTGCTTAGCAAACACCCTGAGGTGGTGCTTATCATTGTGGTCTGAGATCTAGCAAGTGGGCAAAAGGTTCTCAAACTTTCAAGTGCAAACGTTATGTTAGTGAGGGTCTTTAAGATACAGACTCTGGTTCAACAGGTCCAGCCAGGGTGGCGCTGCTGGTCCATGGATCACAGTTTGGATAGAAAAAGGCTAGATCAGTGTTTCTCAAACTTGAGTGTATATCTGCATCACCTGGAGAGGCTGTTAAAACACAGAATCAGACTTCCTGATACGATTGGTCTGGGGTATGGCCCAGGAATTCGCATTTTTGACAAATTCCTAGGAGGTGCTAACCACACTTTGAAAACTAACTGGGCTAATACATAGGGCTAGTGAAGGGTGGGGCAGGGGTGGGGCACTGTGGGGATTAGTGGGTGGGGCCAGACCTTATGGGGTCTTGACAGTCTCTGGCCCCTGTAAGCAGGACTGGTGGGACTCTGATGTGAGTTGGGGCCTGGGGGTGGGCTCTGTCTCTTAGGGAGCTTATTCTTCCCCACACCCACTGCTGCCCTTGTCTTCCCTTGCAGTGCTTACCGGACAACTGAGGTGGCCTACAGGGGTATGGCCAGCAGTTTCTCAATCTCTGAGTACAACTCCACCATCCAGGAAAGCCTCTACAGGTGTGGTGGGGCAGTCCAGGCTGCCTGTCTGTGAGTAGGGGAATAAGGGGGTCAGGAGATTTTGAAGTCAGGGAGCCCCTCTCCCATGGTCTTTCTGGGACTCAGCCTCCAGGAGTCCACAATGAATATAAGAAGCATCTCAGAAACAGAGCTCATTCACTACCTGCATTCTGACTTCTTACTGAGGCTTGCTGCAGAAAACACCTTGGGGTTAGAGGTGTTCCCAAGAGCTTACCTGGTGCCAGAGACAATTAATATAATTTGAGGACATCAGTCAGCTAGGTGTTTAGAGTAAGCACTGCTGCAAGGGGTGGGTTCTGGGTGGAGAGGTTGAGAAGTAGCAGGATAGGGCCAGGTGCCTCTGGTCAGGGGCAGGTGGCCCATCTGGGAGGCACCAGCCTCCTTCTGAGCCTCCTCATCATGTGTCATCTTTGCACCACAGCCCTGAGCTTGTCTCAGCTCCACTGAGGGGGGAGTTAGTGGGGGTGGCTCCACAAGGTAGCAGCATTTACCTTGGGATACAAGAGAGGAAACAAGGCTCTAAGAAGAGAAGGAATGGGAGGTCAGGGAAGTGAAGCAGCTGCATCTTGGACGCCTGCTTCGTGCCAGGTGATTTGCATGCAACATTGCTGGTGAGCACCAAGGAACTCTGATGTAGTGTTAGGCTGCCTGTTTAGTTGTGGAAAGATTCTGGGACAACAGTCATGAGTTCAAAGGATATGAATCTAGACAATGTGTGTAATCTGCCACTGGAAAATGAGGGGTTTGGGGAGGAGTGGAGTTGGTTTGCATCTAGCAGTTTCTATTCATATAGAAAAAGCACTGGAAGAGTCAGCACCCACTAGGAGGGAGAAGGTCAGAATCTCCACTTTCTTGTGCAAAAGAAATAAGGTAGGAACTGAGCAGGATTCAGTGAGGAAAAGCTTCTTAGAGGAGGTGGCTAATACACCCTCTCTCACCTTCTGCCTTTTCTCCTACAGGTCTGAGTGCCCTTCCCAGCGGTATGTCTCTCTTCAGTGTTCCCGTAAGAAGATGCTTTTGCTACTGAATTGTGGCCTGTGGGGGCTGGGAGTCAGGGGCAGAGCGGTGGGACCTCTCTGAGAGAGATGGCTGGCCCTGGGAGACCACCAAGAAGAGGGATTTAGCCAGCAGGTCTGCTTCAGGGCCAGGATTCCTGGGAGGCACTGGGGCAGTTTGAGCATAGCATTTTCCTTTCTCCTGACTCCTCATCTCAGCAACTTCACTCATGCCAAAGAATCTATTCAAATCTTCTGGATTCTGGGCAGGGGGCAGAGGATTGAAAGAGCAGGTCTGGGCCCACTTAAATCTCCTATATCAATCAATAGACAAAGAACTAGGTCTACAGTCAACATTTACTGGGCATATTCTCTGTGCATGACGCTGTGCCTGTTGCATTTAATTCTCATGAGGCGTGTACTATTATTGTCCACTAACTGAAAAGAGACAAATGTTTACTTTGCTTAAGGACAGACCTCTGGAAGGTAAGGAACTGGTATCTGACCAATGGTCTGATCCCTAATCCTAAATTGTTCATTGGTCCACAAGTGTGCTGTGTTCTCAGTAATGACGAGTGAGAATAGTCCTCTGAGCAGACCAAGCATACGGTGCTATGGTTGGAGTGCCACCTCTTAGGCCACCTCTAGTTCCTCACTCTTTTCCCCCTTCAAAGAGAAAAGAACACACATCCGAACAAACTCCAAGGGCTGCCTTTCTAGCCCATGATTTTAGGGAGCTGACTCACTTCAGAAAATGTTTACAAATGTTCCCTGGGATGAATGGTCTCCAACAGTACTAAATAACCCATTGAGGAACCATGTGGGTACAAACCCACCTGTGCATCATTGGGAGTTTATCTCTCCTTTGATTTTGTTTTCTTTTGGAGGTGATAGAGATCCCCTCACAGTGCTTATGAATTCAGGCTTATGGTAGAGTTGATCTGCTTTCCCGAGCTCCTGACAGTGGTCCCAAGATTTACCACTGTAACCCTAATGCCTGGCACAATATCAGGTACTTAGTAAGAATTTGTTGAATTTTTGAAAGAATGAATGAGTAAGAGAAAAGAACAACTGGCTTAGGATCAAACTTCCCACTGGGTGACTCCACAAAGCTGGCCACCATATGGGACCTCTGCTTTGGAGGAAACAGTTGTGCCATATCAGATTAAGTGAACAAAGTGGTATCCATGAGTGGGTGTGTGCCCTCGCTGCCCTCGCCTGCCTGGGCCCAGGGAGCATGGCAGGGCTCTGAGAAAAGCAGAGCTCATGGTTCATCTCTTCTGCTTCTCCCCCTAGACTGTGGACTCAGGGCCATGACTGGGCGGATTGTGGGAGGGGCACTGGCCCCAGAGAGCAAATGGCCTTGGCAAGTCAGTCTGCACTACGGCACCACCCACATTTGTGGGGGCACACTGATCGACACCCAGTGGGTGCTCACTGCTGCCCACTGCTTCTTTGTGTAAGTACCTTAGGGGTCAGGTGATGTGATGCTGTGGGGGTTCCAGATCACCAGGAAGGGCTGATGGCAGATTGGCTTCTTTCTCCACAAAGGAGAGCTTGGTGTGAGGTTACCCCTCCTCTCTGCAGTGGGCCAGGTGGCCTTGGCCATAATTTTGTAGTAGATACTTGGTTCTGGGAGTATAAGTTGGTGGTACTTGATCTGAGATAGGCCCAGAATGAGAAAAAGCTTTTGTTTGATGGTCCCTAGTGAGAGGGAGGCAGGCAGAAAGAAGGACTTGGGAGCTTGTCCCTGAAGAACAGGCTGAAATAGAGTCATTGGGTTTGTTGCTGCTGGTTTCTGTACCTGGAATTTATAGGGAGGAACCCATGAAAATCAGGACCACTGACCCAAAAACTGAGGGATAGGGATTATGGGGACGGGTTGCAGTGCAGCTAGCTTCTGAGTCACTAGCCAGGCTTGTCCCTTTGAGCTGATGGGCAGGAAAGGGCTGTAGAGAACAGGATTCAGGGGCTTGCCCAGGAATGAGTCTTCATTCAGTGACTGTCCTGTCTAAAACTTTCTGCTGAGGATAATACTGAGATGTGTACTGCCCACCTTATTTTATCTTTGGTGGTGCACAGAGGAGGCTGTGGGGTGACTGCTAACAGAAATCCTATTCATTTCCTCCCCCTTTCTATTGTAAGGTGCAGAGCAGCGAGTTTAGAATGGCTTTTTTTGGAGGCAGGAGATTGTTTAAGACCCCAGAGTTAAGATGGAGGGCTCCCACAGGAGGTCATTTCATCCATCCCCCTGCCTCCAAACTGGTGCTCAGAGGGCAGCTCCCTGTGTGTAGCATATGCTGCCAGTGGGCTATTTCAGGCAGGTAACAGCATCATGCTCTCCTACGGCTCTTGCAGGACTCGGGAAAAGATCCTGGAGGGCTGGAAGGTGTATGTGGGCACCAACAACCTGCACCAGCTGCCTGAGGCAGCCTCCATCTCCCAGATCATCATCAATGGCAACTACACTGATGAGCAGGATGACTACGACATTGCCCTCGTGCGCCTCTCCAAGCCCCTGACCCTGTCTGGTAAGTAAACCAATTCCTGTCACACCCCATTCTGGCGCATCCTGGAGGCCCTTGGGGCCCATCCCTTGCACTTGGTAGCATCTGTCAGCCCATCTTGGGGTCCCAGAACTTCAGCATGGTGGGAATCTGACTCAGAAATCACTTCATGGAACATCTCTATTTTACAATTAGAGAAACTGAAGCCCAAAGGTTGGAAATATTTTGATAAGTTTGCCCTGAATGACACAACTTAACATTTCAAGTTGGTGACAGAACCAGGGCTTGGAAATAATATAATCAATATAAATAAATCAAAAAATTTCACTGGTATTCATTGAGCACTTAACAGGAGCCAGACACTGTGATAGGCATAGTATGTCTATGATTTCATTTACTCTTCACAACCAATCCTGTGGAACAAGTACTATTATTAGCTTTAGTTTATATAAGAGGAGGTGGAGCTTTAGAGAGAGTATCACCAGAGGCCAGAGTAATAAGTGGCAACTCCAGGTTTCTACAATTCCCAAACGAGGCTCCTCCCACTCAGCTCTTGGCTGGCAAGTTGCTACCACTGCAGTTGAGAACACAAGATAAACCACATTCAAACAACCAATTGCCATGAAGTTGGAGATAAGGACCAAATGAGGCTTCACAGAAGAAATGCTATCAAAGTTCTCAGGAGACCAAAGAAGGCTTTGTTCATTAATTCGTTTGCTCATTTTTTCACTTATCAAATGTCAAGGATCTAATTTTTAGTGGGCTCTGGATTTCTGATCGCAAGTACAATATAGTGGGTTACACACACGAGGACAGCCAGTGGAGGCCAATGATGAAATGCTGAAAGGAGCTGGGGGAACCCTGGTGGCTCTGATGGGGTCAAGTAATCAGTCTTGGAGGATAGAGTCTTTTCTGGCATAGGAAATTGGAAGGGTTTCTGGTTAGTCCAGTCTTTTTATGCTCTGGGCCTACCAGCTGGTCTTTCCTGCCACTTTAATTATGGAGTCAGCGTCAGTGAGTCAGAGTAGTTAGTTAGTTCTTCAGACTGGTGTGAGGAGGAGGAAACCTTGGCAGAGCTTAGTTGGCCAGGGCTGTCCCAGAGCTACACCCATCTGAACCATGCCCACTAATGAGCAAGACCTTTGTTCTCTTCCTGCTCCCTCAAGCCTTGTCTGTGGAGCCTGGGACTATAAAGTGTGGGGTGCTCCCCTGCTCCTGGCCTGCCTCTCATGCACACATGAAAGGGAGCAGTTAGTCTGTAGGACCAGAACAGACCTTTCCAACCTTTTAAAACCATCTCCACATTCTGATATGCCCCTGGGCAGGAATCACAGCTCAGATTTATGTAGTCCTGTGGTCAGACCATGTGACCTGACTTTTGGTTTAGAAATCAGGACAATTTTCCTATACTCATATGGCAGGCCAAGCACTTTGAAGACACGGAACTATCTGACAACACTTGTGAAAACTCATTGGTAAATTTAATTTTCCCATAACATAGTGAAATATATAACAGTTACTTATGTTTAAGACTGTGTCACAAAAATAGGCAGGTAATATTTTAAGAAGTCATGTTTTGCATTTTTTGTTAATTAATTGATACTGTCCTTTCATTTTTTTCCTTTTTATTTTATTGATTTGCCATTACAGTTGTCCCATTTCCCCCCTTCATTCCCCTCCACCCTGCACACCCCTCCCCTACCATCCCCCCCTTTAGTTTATGTCCATGTGTCACAAGTTCTTTAGATTCTACATTTCCTATACTATTCTTGCCCTCCCCACTGTCTATTTTCTACCTACCATTTATGCTACTTATTCTCTGTACCATCTCCACGCTTCTCCTCCTCCCACTCCCCTGTTGCTAACCCTCCATGTGATCTCTATTTCCATGGTTCTGTTCCTGATCTAGCTGTCCTCTTAGATTGCTTTTGTTTTAGGTGTGGTTGTTAATAACTGAGTTTGCTGTCCTTTCACTGTTCATATTTTTTATCTTCTTTTTCTCAGATAAGTCTCTTTAACATTTCATATAATAAGCTCTTGGTGATGATGAACTCCTTAAACTTGACCTTATCTGAGAAGCACTTTACCTGCCCTTTCATTCTAAATGAAAGCTTTGCTGGATAGAGCAATCTTGGATATAGGTCCTTGCCTTTCATGACTTGGAATACTTCCTTTCAGCCCCTTCTTGCCTGGAGGGTCTCTTTGGAGAAATCAGCTGACAGTCTGATGGGAACTCCTTTGTAGGTGACTATCCCCTTATCTCTTGCTGCTTCTAGAATTCTCTCCTTCATTTTAATCTTGGCTAATGTAATGATGATGTGCCTTGGTGTGTTCCTTCTTGGGTCCAACTTTTTTGGGACTCTCTGAGCTTCCTGGACTGACTGAAAGTCTATTGCCTTTGCCAGATTGGGGAAGTTCTCCTTTATTATTTGTTCATATAAGGTTTCCACTTGTTGCTCTTCCTCTTCCCCTTCTGGTACCCCTACAATTCAAATGTTGGAACATTTAAAGATGTCCTAGAGGTTCCTAAGCCTCTCCTCATTTTTTTGAATTCTTGTTTCTCATTCTTTTCTCTTTCTTTCTTTCTTTCTTTCTTTCTTTCTTTCTTTCTTTCTTTCTTGTCCACTCCCTTGATTTGAATCTTAGTTTCCTTTCCATCACTATTGGTTTCCTGTGCATTTCCCTTCATTTCAATTAGTTTAGCCTTCATTTGTTCCTCTAATTTGTGACTAAAATCAGCCAGTTCTGTGAGTATCCTGATCACCAGTGTTTTGAACTGTGCATCTGATAGGTTGGCTATCTCTTGGTTGCTCAAAGCCCGCTCTGGGGCTTTGATTTGTTCTTCTGTTTGAGCCATAATGTTTTGGTCTGTTGGTGCCCATTATGTATGAGGGGCGGAGCCTTAGGTGTTCACCAGGGTGGGGCAGCCCAGGTTGCTGGGTTGTGACGTATGTGGGGGCAGGGTCAGAGAGGGGCAATGGCATTTTTTCCATGCTCCCTCAGATTTCAGTCCCCTCTGCTGTCCCCTTTGCTCAAGCAAACCTAGCCCTCTTGGTGCCAGCTCCTGGGTATGTGGGCCTGTGCATACTCCAGAACCCAGTTGGTCTCTCCAATGAACTCTCTGTGAGCGTGGGAGCTTCTCCCAGCACCTCAACCCTGAGAGTTTTTCCAATTGGTGCTTTTAGGCTTTAATTCCCCTCGCTGGGGCCCTGGCCTGCACCATCTGTCTCACTCCTCACTCCTTTGCCTGGTTTATCTGCATGTGAATGTGTGACCGCAGTCAGCCAGCTGCCTTGCGCCCTCACTCATCCGCTGGTTGCCACCCCATGCCCGGGATCTACTAACAGCCACCTGCATGCCTGGGTTGGTCTGGTCCAGCCGCTTTTTCCTGCAAGACCCTGCTCCACCAGCTGCTGACTCCACCCCTCTTACCAGTCTGGATGAATGGTTCATTGTCAGACTTCGGTACAGTTCAGTTTTCCATGTTTTGGTTGTGTTTTTGATACTAAAACTTTGTTGTCTTTAAACTTGGTTATGAAAGGAGGCACAGTATTTCCACCTACACCTTCATCTTGGCCAGAAGTCCTGATACTGTCCTTTCATTTATTTTTTGTTTACTCTCTAGCAGACAGGTATGTTAGTACTAATAGTTAAATCCCAAATTATAGGAGAATTTAACATTTATTCTCCCTCCCTCCTTTTCTCTCTCTTGTTTTAAGTATATTTTATTGATGCTATTACAGTTGTCCCAATTTTCCCCTCTGTTCCTCCTCCATCTGGTACCCTCCTTCCCTCCAGCAATCCCACTCCTTAGTTCATGTCTATGAGTCATGCATGTAATTTCTTCAACTACTCCATTTCCTATACTGTTCTTAATATCCCCCTGGTATTCCGTACCTACCAATTATGCTTCTTAATCCCTGCACCTTTTCCCCCATTTTCCCCCTGCCAGCTGATTACCTTTCAAACGGTCTCTATATCTATGATTCTGTTCCTGTTCTGGTCATTTGCTTAGTTTGTTATTTTAGATTCAATTGTTGATAGTTGTGAATTTGTTGCCATTTTAATGTTCATAGTTTTGATCTTCTTTTTCTTAAATAAGTCCCTTTAACCTTTCACGTAACAATGGCTTGGTGATGATGAATTCCTTTAGCTTTACCTTGTCTGGGAAACACTTTATCTGCCCTTCCATTCTAAATGATAGCTTTGCTAGATAGAGTAATCTTGAATGTAGGTCCTTGCTTTTCATCACTTTGAATACTTTTTGTCAGTCCCTTCTTGCCTGCAAAGTTTCTTTTGAGAAATCAGCTGATAGTCTTCTGGGAACTTTTTTGTAGGTAACTGTCTCCTTTTCTCTTGCTGCTTTTAAGATTCTTTTTTTATCTTTAACCTTTGGCATTTTAATTATGATGTGTTTTGGTGTGGTCCTCTTTGGGTCCAATTTGGAACTCTCTGTGTCTCCTGGATTTGGATGTCTATTACCTTCACCAGATTAGGGAAGCTTTCTTTTATTATTTTTTCAAATAAGTTTTCAACGTCTTGCTTTTCCTTTTCTTTTTCTGGCATTCCTATGATTCAGATGTTGGCACTTTTGGAGATATTCCAGAGTCTTCTTATACTCTCCTTGTTTTTTTAATTCTTGTTTCTTTCTTCTGTTCCAGTTGAATGTTTACTTCTTTCTCGTGTTCCAAATCATTGATTTGAATCCTGGCTTCCTTCCCTTCAATGTTTGTTCCCTGTACATTCTTCTTTATTTCACTTAGTGTAGCTTTCATTTCTTCCTTTATGTTTTTGCCATACTTAGTGATTTCTCTGAGCATCCTGATCACCACTAGTATTTTAAGTTTTGAATGTGATGGGTTGGCTATCTCTCCTTCATTTAGTTCTTTTTCTGGGTTTTTGTTCTGTTCTTTCATTTGGGCCATATTTCTTTGTCTCCCCAATTTGGCAGCCTCCCTTGTTTGTTTCTGTGTATTAGGTAGAGCTGCTTTCATTCCTGTCTAAGAGCACCTGTTACATTGTATGGGGAGGAGCCTTAGGTAATTGCCAGTGCAGGGCAACCCATTTCACTGCTTTGTGGTTCTGTGTGGGGTAGAGAGGGATCAGAGAGGGGATAATAATGCTGCCTGGCTTCTGAGGGTTTGCCTGACATTTGCCCCATTTCCAGTCACTTCACCCACTCCCCATCTACAGCTGGCACCCTTCCAACTGTTTCCCTAGTGTTGAATTCCAGAATAGGTGGGTTTGCATACATTTTAAGACTATGCAGTCCCTTTAAATGGACTCTCTTGAGTACCTGGCACTTTTTTCCCATGGCCACAACCCCCACTGCTGTTTCCAGCCAGAAGTTATGAGGCTTTCTCTTCCCGGAGCTAGGAACTTGGGTTGCACCATCTGGCCTGGGGCTGGGATCATTTGCTCCCAAGGTATCCCTCCTGATTTTTATCCACCCCACATGGAAGTGGGACAACCTGTTCTGCTGCTGCCTCTTTGTGTCACACTGTATCTTCTACATCGCAGCTCCCTGTCTGTGCCCCTCCTACTTATCTGTATGAATATGGCTTCTTTAAATCCTTGGTTGTTGGACTTTCATATAGTTCCATTTTCTGGCAGTTCTGGGTGTTTTTTTTGTTTTGAGGTTAGTTGTGATCCTTCTTCCAGTTGTACAAGGAAGCAAAGCCTGTATATCTATGGCTCTGTCTTGACCAGAAGTCTGTCTCTCTCTTTCAAAGTTTCTTGAGCACTTGTAGTATAGGTGCAGGAAGCTACAATGGATGAACAATTGAGAACATGGCAAACATTCCATCTATCAATTAGCATTTTCTTTTTGCAGATGAGCTTTGGTGGGCAATGCCCTAGTCCATCTAGGAATACCAGTCCTCAGAGAGCTTATTAAGTGACATGCAACGGTATCAGCACCTTCTAACTGTATCTGAGCAGGGGAGCAAGTGAGCAGTGATTCTTTTGTGTGCCTCAAGGGATATATCCTTCTTGCTGGGAGAGATTGTCTTGCCCTGGAGGGAGAGCTTCAGGCCTTGGTTAGCCAGCAGGGCCCTCCCCAGACTAGGCTGAACACTCCACTGAGACACCATGGCCATAATACCTGGGTTTAGCCTGATGGACAGGTAGGGGAAAGGTGCAGCCAGAAGAGCCACTCTCAGTGAGGAAAGACCCTCAGTCACCCAGTACTGATTGGGTACAGGGGAGCTTCCAAGCCATATGCATCTGTCCACATGATACCAACTGAAATAAGAATGTTTGGGGGAAGTCTGGTAGTATCATGAAGGCTGGAAGGTCAAGATAAAGTGATTAATCAGTCTGAGGCCCTGGAAGATTCAGAACTACTCTGGGGACAAGGAGGAAGCTTCTAGGTCATTGGTGCTCCTATCCCTCCATTACCCTCACCAAAACCTCCATCCTTGTGCCTTCCTATGTCTTGGGTTCTTATTGCAGCTCACATCCACCCTGCCTGCCTCCCCATGCATGGACAGACCTTCGGCCTCAATGAGACCTGCTGGATCACAGGCTTTGGCAAGACCAAGGAGACAGATGGTAAGAGCCAGAGATGCTTGACTATGTGTGTGTGTGACTGTATACATGTATATCTGTGTAGAGTGTGTGGGGGCGATGTGTCAAAGTAGATAGATAAGGGCCTAACTAATGAGGGTTCAGGTATATAACTTTATGGGCCTGGTTGTGAATATATACCTGCATATATGTCAAAGTAGTTACTGTGAAATGCCCCCCAGCCAAGATCACCAGGAAAACATCTATAGTTAAACAAGTTGGGTTCATTGCTTACTGCAATGAGGGAGAACACATGCCATGGAGAATCATGGTACATTTCAATAAGAGGTGTTAGAAAAAACCCAGCACAGAACTTGGGTGGTTGGAGGGGGTCCAAAGAAGAGGAGCATTGCTTTAGATTAGATGCTTTTAGGGAGCAAGATAATTCTATGATTGAGTCTCTAAATAATCCCACCTAGAACTTGTAAATAGACTGGATCTAAGTTGACATCAGTGAAGGAGCAGCAAAGCAGCAACCCACCCCTATTGGCTGGGAGGGGTGTTTGGTATTGTTGTGGGTTGCACAGTGACCTACCTTATTTTCCTTTATGCTTAACCAGATAACGAAATGGATTTGTTTTGCTTCAGTTCATCATGGTCATAGAGTAGCCTTGTCTGACATCGGCTCTGTAGGATTATTTATACATGCCAAGAGAGTGCCATGGCCTGTCTGGCCCACTGTGAGACTCAGGCCCTTGCTCAGTGCGATGAAGTACTGATTGGCCAGGGAGTAGTTTCTTCTGATCTTGGCTTCATAATGAACTCATTTTCTGACTATGGGCAAGTCAGTTCTGTAGCCCTGAAATTCTCCATCTGTAAATGGATTAATTATACCCCTTTAGGGCACATAGTTACTAAAAACAAATGAAGTAACATATTGGACCATGCTTAGAATGCAGAAAAGCACTGTGCAACATGCAAGGTAGCCTAATAGGCTGTAAGTTTGTCCATGTCTGTGTATGTCTTAGTTATATGTAGTGAGCTGTGTCTGGTATGAGAGTATGTGTGCCCATATATCCTGGGTGGCCAAATACAGAAACAGTGCCTTCCATTCAAAGGAAGCTGTGAGTTTGGGTCCTGAGATTAGTGGCTAGAAGACCATGAAGCAGACCAGAGTCTTTATCCTTTTCCATCCTCTCTGTCCTTTCCGCATTTCACTGCAGAGAAGACATCCCCCTTTCTCCGGGAGGTGCAGGTCAGCCTCATAGACTTTCGGAAGTGCAATGACTACTTGGTCTATGACAGTTACCTTACCCCAAGGATGATGTGTGCCGGGGACCTTCGGGGAGGCAGAGACTCCTGCCAGGTGAGGCTGCTTTTGGGTAGGGATTAGGTTCCAGGACCCCAGGGGAATGAGGGAAGGCTGAGCTGTTGGGGTCAGAGTGGGAATAAGGTGTACATTATTTCCTGCTCAAGAATCGCTTCTCCTACCCTGCTGATGTGCATGCTCTCCCCTGTAGGGAGACAGTGGGGGGCCCCTCGTCTGTGAGCAGAACAACCGCTGGTACCTGGCAGGAGTCACCAGCTGGGGAACAGGCTGCGGCCAGAGAAACAAACCTGGTGTGTACACTAAAGTGGCAGAACTCCTCCCCTGGATATACAGCAAGATGGAGGTGAGAGTCTGTGTGGGGCACTAGCTGAGCACGTGAGGAACTTCCAAAGGAAGTGTGCCTGGAAGAGGGCCCAGGCTCTCCCCCAGGGTCTTAGCAGGGATTCCCTCACAGCCTTCTGTTACAGGGTGTTCACAAAGTACAGAAGACCAGGATAGGACAGGAGTCAAATATCAGGCCAGCCATAGCTTCCTGTGTTCCTTTCCCTCCTCTTCCTTTGGCAGAATAGAGCTCAGAGGGTTGCAAAGGGGTGGGCCAAGTGTTGCTGGCCCCAGTATAGCTCCTGTCCTGGTGATGGCTGAGTTGTGAGTTCACACAAGCCACTGACAGTAGGAAGCCTCTCCTTTACAGGAAGTGATTCAATGTGGAAGTGAGAGTCAGGAAGTGGAGATTCACACCCCCTCTGCTGACCCATTTCAGCCCCTTTCTTCCCTTAGCCTGCCGTCTAAGCCGTAAAGCAGAAATACTATGTCCTTTCCTTCTTTACTGGGCCAAGGGCACAACAGTGGAGAGCTCAGATGTGGACAGGTGAAGGCTGCCAAGTCTCTCAAAACCTGCTTCCATCATTTTATCTTTGCTTCCCCTATTCTCTGAGGGGCAGTGATAGGTAACAGGTGGATTGAATTTTAGTTTCTGAGTCCCCATCTTTATGTCTGGTTTCTGGGCCATCCAGCTCACCCTCATTGTGTTCTCCCTGTTCTCTTCCTCAGAGTGAGGGGCGCCTCCAGAAATCTTAAGTGTCCTGCTCTACCTCACAGCACTGGCTGCTATAGACTCTGGCCAAAGCGACTGGGCCATCCGCAACATCATCTGGGCTAAAGGCTACCAGACACTTTCATTACTGCCTCTTCCACTATCTTCTGCCTCTGAATATGCAATGTGCATGTGCATGTGTGCATATGTGTGTGTATGTGATTGCTCTCCCAAGGTCTTCAGAAACCAGAATCGCCATCAGCTCTTTTCAAGCCCCAGGCTGAAAATAATAACCTGAAAACAACAGTTTGAAGACAACACAACACCATGGAGACACCTACAGGTGTGTTCATAATGGATGGAGGGACTAGAGCCCAAGGAAGAGCCTGGAAGGTCGCGTCAAGAATTCTTGCTTCTCTGACCTCAACTTGGAGACTAGCCCAGAATGGGCAGCCACTCAGCAGTCCTGGTAGCATCAGTGCTGTCCAGGGACAGCAACAGCTTTTGCTGGAGTGCCTGGACTGTCCCTAGTAGGGAGATATCTCTGTTGACATTACAAGCATCCTGTTTTCTCCAACCTCCCGATAGTGCTGTGTATGTGGAGAAGCGACTGCACTGTGGCTGGCCATGTTCACTCCTGTGAACAGGGCTCATTGTTCCTATTTGGTCACAGGCTGTTGGGGGTGTGTTTATTTCATTTTATTTTATTTTTATATTTAATAAACAGAAGTAGAAGTATTTTTAAAGATTCTCCAAAACTTTCTAGAGCTAGGAGAGCTAGCATCAGTCACCCCAAGAACTCCAAGGGACAAGTGGAAGCTGTGCCACTCTCGACTCCTGTGGAATGTTCTTGGCCTCAAGGGACTGAAGTGGCTCCTTTGAGATACTCAGGGAAGTCAATCCTCATTGGAGCTAGTGGGAAAATCAAGGACAGAGAGAACCAAGTTGTTACTATATTCAAGGGCTATAACCAGCCATGAAGAAGTGTTTCTTCTTGTGTCCCCCAGAAGCTGGGAAAATCCAGGTGGGCCATCATCCCTTATTCTTAGTGCTGCCTCGGGACTTAATAATTTCTCCTCAGCTTTCTCCGCCTTTTAATTTCTCAGTTGTTTCAGAAACATAGTACCAATATTAAAATCGCCATAGAGAGAAAGTTGACACTGTCCTCAGGCCCTGCAAAGAGTCCTTCTGAAGGATTCCAGTTGCCCTGCTCCTGCAGGTCATCAGTGTGCCTAGCCTCCAGCTAAAGGCCTGAACCTTCCCCAGCCTTGGTGCACAGACCCATTCTCCTCACTTTTCATGGGCCTATCTATGACCCCCAGAGGCAGGGTCCAAGCAGATCAGCCCAGCCTAGCCCAGCCCAGGCAAGGTAGGTCACCACTTGGGGGAAAGATTGCCCTGGAAAAGTAGGCTGAAATTGCCTAGTGGCTGGACAGAATCTGAGGGGCTGGTTACATGTCACAAAGGCTGGGGAGTTCAGGGAGGGCAACATTGACTTTCACAGCAGCCCCCAGCAATGATCTTCAGCAATAAATGTGTGACCTAAATTTTAAAAAAACTTTTTATTTATTAATTTGAGAGAGAGAGAGAGAGAGAGACATTGATTTGCTTTTCAATTTATTTGTTGTTCCACAAGAATCATCAATTGATTCTTTAATGTGCCCTGACCAGGAACTGAACCTGCAAACTTTCAGTTCATAGGACAATGCCCAACCAACTGAGCTACATTGACCTGGGCATGAGTAGATACTAGTCTTTGTTGGATATTTGATTTGCAAGTATTTTCTCCCTATGTGGCTTATCTTTTTATTCTCTTAATTTTGTCCTTATGGAGCAAAAATTTTAATTTAATAAATTTCAGTTTATCATGTTTTTCCTTTTGAATTGCCTTAAGAACTCTGCCAAATTCAAGCTCATAAAGATTTTCTCTTAAGAATTTTATTATTCTATGTTTTACATTAGAAGCTATGATCCATTTTGAGTTAAATTTTGGATACTATTGAGGTAGAGATTGAGGTTCATTTTTTGTTTGTTTTTAAATGGATGTCTAGTTGTTCCAGCACAATTTGTTAAGAGACTATACTTTCCCATCAAAAATCAATTGAACATTTTGTGTGGGCATATTTCCAGACTCTTCATGCTGTTCCATTGATCTATGTGTTTATCATTTCACCATACCACCCTGTCCTAATTACTATAGCTTTATAGTAGGTCTTAAAGTGAGGTAGGGTGAGTCCTCCAAATTCATGATTTTATGTTATTTTATTTTGTTCCATCACCATTTATCCCCCCATACCCTCTTTCACCACCCCCACCCCTCTCCCCCTATAATTACAATACCGATGTCCATGTCCATGAGTTCTTTCTCTCACTCTTTTTTTCCCCCTTTCCTTCTCAATCTTCCCACCTGACCGCCGACCCCTAGAGCTGCCAGCCTGCTCTCTATATTTTGGATCTTCTAGTTCCTTACATTTCCATTAAGTTCTAGAACTAGGTTGTCTGTGTCTACAAAGAATCCTGTTGGAATTTTAAGATTGCATTAACTCTATAATCAATTTGGAGAGTTAATGTGTTAACTATTGAGTCCTCCAAACCAGGAATACAGTATATCTCTCTATTTCTTTAGCTCTTTTTTGATTTTTAAAAAATGTAGCACTTCATCATACTGAAATGTACTTATTTCACTAATTATAACTAAGTATTTAATTACATGTTAACATAATTAATATTTTTATTAAAGTATATATTTCAAAGCAAAAATAAGGAGAACAGTGGTATCATTTTATATTTTTGCAAATCTCTTTAATGTCTGGCATAATAAAGTAGCTGGATTTTCATATTTGTTTCAGCATTTGGTCTGTTATGATATATTGTTTTGGTTGAAATACATGAAAAAAATCTAATCTCACACAGACACGGAGTTGGAAAGTGGAAGATTATTTTAATAGTGTTTTCAGATAACTGTGGAAATTTTTCTTTGACACTATACTCAAACTTGAATAGATTCTTAGAGTTTAGTTTCAGTGTGGAATCGAAACTTGTCCATGAGCATTTTCAACTTGGTTATGTTGAAATCTCTTAGCCTGAGTTGCAATGTAAATGGGTTTCTTACCCATGTCTAATTTTGTAACATCTTGTATTTGGGAATATTGGTTCTGGGTTATGAACATCTTCCAAATATTGATAATTTCATTATATAAGACCAAAAATACTAGGCACTAATATCACTACTGACCTCACAGAAATCTTAAGGATTGGGAAGCTATCAAGCTCATGGTGAAGGATGAGAATTTTCCAAAATTCTGATTTTCAGTTGAAAGTTTAAATTCTATCATTGGCAATAAATATTGCCAGATGTTTTCCTTGAGGTAACAAGCTCAGTTTGTTGATTTTTGAAAAAATGATAGCCAGCTTTTGAATTTGGATAATCATAGTTTGACAATCTTTACTCAGCTAAAAATGGTGTTTCATGAAAAAAGTGACTAGTTTAGTTTGTGGCTCAAGAATATAAGCACTTTTCCCCTAGAAAACCTTAGTATTTTACTGTAGTATGCAGCAGAAGTGCTATATGCATACTTTTTACTTCACCCTGAAAATTAAAAAGACATGTATTCAGGATTGAGATATTATTAATAAAATAATTTTTAATAATGAGTAATTTCTACTGCTTCATCAAGGGTGTTCTTAAGTGAAACTGGCAACTGTGTGGTAATGAAGGGCACAATGACTGCAAGTCCATTTTGGTGCCATTGTCTTCATTCATATTAAGGAAAAAACAGTGGCCTACCTTTGCTTTTGTACTTACAATATGAACAAAGTGAAAAAGGCAAGTGACATCATAGCATTATTATGAAAAAAGTTTTGACCCTCCTAACCCATCCCACCCCAACAATGTCTCAAGCAGCCCCAGGGATCCTCAATTCACATTCTGAGGACTGCTGCCTTAGCCACCAAAAAAATAAATAAATAAAGGCAAAAGGGAATCTGTGGGTATTGATGTGGGATCAGGACTTCCTGGAAAATCTGTTGAAACCTTTATCTTACCCTTGTTGACTCCTCTCAGGAGAAAAGGAACAATCTCTTATCTTGTAGCGGTCTAAGGCTAGTCAGCTTTACGCAGTGATGTTGGGCTTGTTGAAGAAGAGGAGTGCTAATTTAATTGCAGCTTAATGAAGAGCTTAGTGGGTGAGAGAAAGAAGAGTGTTTGAAAGTTTGCATTTTCTTAACTTCCTGACTTGATTCATCCCAGGTGACTATACTAATTCTAGTTAGAAACACTTCAGTTGTTCTGCCCGTGACTGATGCCCTGGATATGCCACATGAGGTTTGAGGTGGGGTCTGCTTTGTGGTTGAGGCTAGAGATCAGGACCCCATCAGGTCCTTCTCTGATGATATCTCTGACTGGAGTAATAGGTTATTCAAATTCAGTTGAATTCTACAAATTGGACAAGTACTTACTGGTACTGAGGAGGGTATTAAATGCTGGAGCAGAGGTAGAGGTTGGGATGGAGGACACATACCTGTGGACAATTTATCAGGATGTCCCTCCCTTCTTGGCCCTTTCTACCCTGGTGTCTTTTTTTAGCTTCATTTTTTAAAGTAATTTTGTAATTTAACTCTCATACAGGAGCATTTTTTAAAATCCAAACAATCCTGAAAACCATAAAAGTAATATAAATGGTACCATGTATTTGTGCTAAACATTGTGCTATAAATGCTCCACATTACAACATACTACAGTCTCTCTGCAATATCTGAAGTATCTATTCTTGCAAATAAGAAAGTAAAAATCACTTTAAGTCCCACTATCCAGAGGCATTTTGGTAAATTCTAGAACTCTCTATGCATCTAAAGAGAGAGGTCTATAATTTAATATAGATAGGATCATATGCTACAAATTCTTGTGTATCTCAATTTCTTTTTCACAGTGACATGAGACAAACAACTTCTCTCAGGGAATGGATAGTTTCATTTCTCTAATAGTTGTAGAATAAGAGAATTTCATTGTATAGATATATCAACTTACTTTATCTGTAAGTCGACATCTAAGTAGGGTAGCTAGTTTCCAGATTTTGATGATATGAACACTGCTCCAAGAATTTCTTTGTGCATGCTTCATTCTGAGGCAATGATCTAAGAGTCAGTTCTTGTAAGTAGGCTTGTTTATATTTTTATCTAAGATACTAAACTAGTTTCAGAAGAGTTGAATTAACTTCTACTCCTTTAACAGTGTCCAAGAATGCTAAAGGCAGACATAAAATCAAATGTGAGTGTGTTTCTACATGAATACCTGTGTGAATATGTGAGCTGTACACACCCCTAAGGGCTTGCTTATTCATTTAACAAATATTTCTGAGCACCTGCCATGATGCAGACACTCAGCCAGTGCTGCAACTCTGAGAAACACGATCTCAGCTCTCATGAAGTCAAACATACACTAAAAACAACAACAACAAAACCCCCTGCCATAAGTGCATGCAGACAATTTATACCAAGATATGATCACACAGAACTAGGCTCTGCCCTGGTCTGGATGTGGTGATAGGGGTGGCAGGGAAGTTGGGGAAGGTTTTTTTGAAAAAGAGAAGGGTAAGGAGACATTAACTAGATGAAGAGTAGGAGGAAGCATGTTCCAGACAGAGAGAATTTGTTGCTCTTGTCCCACTATCAGTGGG